TGCTCTTCCTAACGATATGTGGAAGAGCATAGCCAGCTAGCTAGCCGTATCTTTTATAGATTCAAAGACAGACTTTACAGTACCAAAATCTTGAGGTTGGGCCTGGAGTTGCATCCAGTTTTCGATTTATTTAGGCCCAGAAACTGCGCTCCACAGCTACATCTGCCTTTCAAACAAATGTGCGATAATATCAAGCTTCTTCTATTTTCAGATCAAGAAAGTGATCGAAAGGCGTCAGGATGATCAAAATTACTGCTACAGTTTGAGTCATAAATCGAGTAAGCCATTTGGACAGGAGGTTTTCAAGAAGTTCGTTAGTTCTTGCGTCTTTCGTTTTACAGTATTGTTTCGGTTCACTGCTGCTTAAATTAAGGTCGACCACATGTGAAGGCCAGTTTTGCTTCATTTCTCTGACTACATCCGAGATCGTTTTGGAGAGCGTCGATTTCAAGCATGATTATTCGGAACACGACGAGTTTGTTGGAACCACTCGACCGAGGTATGAACTTCTGGCCGGTTGCCTGAAGGTGGATGATGACAAGGTGAGAATTCACTTTATATGAGTTTATTCTAATCATATTGATGCACGTGCGTTGTGCTTGATGGGCAGGAAAGGAAGTCGTAACTAAGTGTAGATTACGAACTCAGATGAAGGGAAGGAAGAGGAAAGAAAAGAAACTAGCACGTTAAAATCAGGAAGTTAGGATGGAGCAAAAATTTGCTGGTTCAGTTGGACAAAGAGTTTATGCATATCCAGACTGGATTGCGCTTCGATGTACTTTATATCGCCCACTATCATCATTTGCAAAAAAAAATCAAAGACGATGTCCAGACAAATCTAGGTACCAAGGTTTTTCGTGTGGGTAGTAATGAAGATTCAACTATGTCAACATTCAAACAGCAGCTATGATCCATTCGAACAAGAAGTTCAACGCTGAACTCTCGCCCAGCACCGTATTCTACAACGCAGACTAGCCTGCCCAAATGGTATGGTGTTGGGCGAAGTTTTCTGCCGCATGTAATCACTCCAGCAAGGTCCCACTGGTCCAGATCAAAAGCTCATAATTTCTGTGCATCGTCTTCAGAATGTATTAGAAAACATGCCACGTTTGCCAATCATAATGCAGATTGAAATGCCGAAATGTTACGGTATCGAGCGGGATTTTAACTTTCTCGACCCCTATTGAAAGTTTATCATCTACCGCGCATGTGAACAAAGTTTTTTAAGTGGTATTCAATTCATAACTCTAGATTTTCTGTGTATTTTCTACATGCAAAATGATGTTAAAGCAAAATTCTATCCGCCTGTTAGTTATAAGGAAGTGCCTGGTTGTAAAGTTCGGTGAGTTTGCAGCCGTTGCTCACGCAATACGCCAACAGAAATTCCTCGGATTTTTTTTCTGTCAAACTTCCTGCTATCAGACGTAGCTTTGGATCAATAAAAGCGATATTGGGAAGAGCGA